TTTTCCTGGACACGGTGAATTAGTCTGCAATAGGCTTGTGTGTGGGCTGTAGCGCCAAAATTCAAGGTCAGCTCCCGGCAGTTGGATGTTTATTGTAGGCGTTGGCGTTTCAGGCCCTCTGATGCAGAGTCTGCACTTTCAGTATGATAAGCGAATTGGGAAGGATTAGCAAAAATGTTCTGAGATCTCTCTATTCTCTGATCTCAGGAGTTTCACCCTTTCCTTTTTACTTAAATAGCCAAGCTGACAGTCCTCTGCACCGAGGCAAACTCCCTCTGCCCTCTTCCCCCCCTGGGCCTTTGACACAGGACTCATCAAAGACAGAGGCTTTGGTGAGAAGCTCTTACACCCTTCCCCCTTGGAAACTCTCTCTGTTTTCTTGAAAATAACACAAGAGGAGTGACAGTAAAATGCAGCTCTAGGGCTTGATGCCAACTTTCCTTCTCAGGTTCCTTGCTGAGGAAAAACACCCAGGACCTGTCAAACGTTCTCAGTGTTCTTCGCACCCAGCTCTTCTCCAACCCTGGATCATCAGGCCAGGGATGGAATGATGGTGGAACAGCCCATCCCCTCCTCTCCTTCCACCCTGATTAGACCTCAGTCTCCAGTACCATGATTCATGGTCTTGTCTGCTTCTTGTTAACAGCCCTGGCTGTCTTGCCCAGAGCCCCTCTGTCTTCAGCTGCTTCAGTATTTTCTGGGGATGTTGTTCCCCATCAGGAACGAGGTTTGACCCCCTCTTTGCCACCTCTGCAAAGCTGCTTCCGCTGGCGGCATGGGGCTTTCCCAACCCACTGCTTTGCAGAGCTGGGCCAGGAAGTCCCGGCTCACCGCACAAGCTTGCAGAGCTCCTGCTGCCCACCATCAGCTGCACAACCCCTCTTACCATTGCCCAGATGAGAAGGCAGATTTCTGAGGTGTTAGGAGATGGGCAGACACTTTCTCGACCTAAAAGATATCAGAGCTCTTTGAGCTTAACATAAATCAGCCTTAAAAATATCTGAAGCAGTGGCGAGCTGGGTACCACCCAGTTACAGACCAGCTTCATCCCCAGGAGCCCCACACAGCAAAAAAGCAGGAACCCCTGCAGCCGCAGCCCCTGTGCCACCCTCCCTGTCCCCGCCTGCGCCTTGCCTGTCCCTGAAGGGGACACAGCTGTATTTGCAGAAAACGCAGGGTAACAAACTGCTCGCCACCCCACAGCAGGTGCCTGGCTCCACCCGTGCCCCAAGGGCTGCCATGGCCCCGAGGGGCTGGAGCCTGCGTGGATGAGACACAAAATGAGAGCTGGCAGGGGAGGGTCGGTGGTCCTGCTGGCACCTCAGCGAGGCAGCGTTGAACCAGACCCCCCAGGTCCCCACCACATGTTAGCTCAGAAGGCTGCAGCCCGCTCCCACGGCCACGCTGGCAGGACACAGCCCTGTCCCCCGGGCTGCAGCTGCTGCTTTTGGCAAGGACAGCCCTAGGGAGTGATGCTGAGGGCAGCACCCTGCTTGTAAGACTCCCAGCCTAAGCCGCCCCCCCTTGCCAGCTGCAGACTCAGGGACACATCTGTCCCCTGCTTCGGATTAAGGTCTGTCCCATCTGTGCTGGGAGGAAGACGCAGGGCGAGGCTGCCCACTCCAGCCCCTCCTGCCTGCACTCTGCCTTCACTGGGGGCTGAAGCAACACCCTCACCTCTTATAGATCAACTAAAGGACCCCCCCAACCCCCTTTCTACCCCCCGCTCCTTTATTCTTCTGTACAAAAAGCTGCAGAGCCAGGGTGAGGAGCAGCAGCAGTTTAGTTGCTCAACCCATCCCGTTTCCTGTCCTTTGCCAAAACCTCATCTGTTTCCCTACCCAGGGTGCTGGGGCTTGCCCGCACCCAGCTGCCAGAGGAACGGGTGATGTTGTTTGGTTTTTCTGTCACAGTGATGAAGTGTTTATAGCAACCATCACTCCGCAATCCACAAACTTCACTGATCTCAGCCCAAGCTTCCGAAATAATGGCAAAGGAAGCACAGTCCCTTCCTCTGGGGTCAGCAATGGTGGTGTTTCAGGACACCAAAGCAAAGTTCCTTCATGCTGGGCATCACCAAACTGGAGATCACCCAAAACCTTTTGCTGGCCCAGACTGGCACCTTGGGGCTGGGGCTGTGCCCTGACCCCACCTGCGATGGCAGTGATATCCCTGTGGCTGCTGGCTGGTGACCAGGTGGGATGTGGGGGCTGCCAGCCACCTCCCAAGGGTCTCCTCTCTGCCTCAAGAGTGGTGAGAGCATCTGGTAGGGCACACCGAGCCGGCGTCCCTTGGCTGCTCCCCAAAAAAGCTGGGATTTGACCTGAGCAACCTGTTCCCCTGTTCCACGAGCAGCACAGCCAGGGCATTGCTGCACTGGGAGGGGAGGAACCGTCCCTGCCCATCTCCAGCTCCCACCAGGGCTGAGAGCCGAGAGCATCGCAGACAAGCTGCGCTGGAAGCCATGCTGCTGCCTGTCTGAGCAGCTCACGCTCCAGGCCACAGAGATTTACTGTTCAACGGAGAAAAGATTGTGTCTGCTGACAGCCCACCTCCCCGGCACGCCGGCCGCGGCCGAGCCTCGCTGCGCATCCGAGGGGAGCGCCCGGCTCGGGCGTGGATTTCCTATCCAAATGTGATACAGCTGTTTCTGCTTCCTCTCCAAAGACCGAAGCGAGTTTTAAAAACTCAGTTTATCATATATTTCCTTTGACCAAGGATCCTTGTGGATGTGACCCGTGCCTGAACTGCCCAATTTTACGGCATCAAGGCTGGAGCAGGCAGAGAGCATGACTTGTACAAGCACAGCACTCCAAGGGGAGTATCCTGACAGCAAGTCCTGGGGCTAAACACCATCTCAGTGGGAGCGCCTATTGCAGGGCAGACAGAGAAACAGGACACACAGAAGGAGCTTTTTGGGAATCAATACCTAAGGGCTTGTCCCCAGACCTTTGCTTGAGGGACCCCCACTTTTCACCCCCCGCCCCTTGCAGCACAGAGTGAGGCAGCTGCAGGATTGGGTTTGGCTTCTTTGCAGGATTCCTGAGGCTACGCAGACCTTGCAGAGTTCCTACATCCCTCCACGCACCCAGGGCAGGGAGAGCCGTCCCCAGTCACCACACCTACACCACAAATCAGTGGCAGGGACCGAAGCAACTGGCAGCCCCAGGGCAGCACACTGCATACAGCAACATGCTGCCTCCTGCCCCAGCTGCGGCCACTGCCCACAGAAAGGGCTTTCAGCTGGAGGGCTTGATCCCCCCAGCCTCTCCTCAGGCAGCACTTGTTTTTCCATACCTCTCACTGGTTCCCTGCTCGTTCCTTCCAGCCTGGCCCTTTGCACCTGGAATTAGCTACTCCTGAAAAGTTTTGGTGCAGGGCCCTGTGGGAAAGACCAGGAGCCCAGTTCACAGGTCCCTTTCCCAGCTGGACACACTTATGCAAGCCCAGAGGATGACGAGCCTTGTGTTTGCTGTTTTTTTTAATGCTGAGAGTAAACGCTGTCTCACTGGCATGCTTAAGGCTGCCGGGATTATATCACTAATTTCCTTTGAAGCCGAGTTCGCAGAGGAAAGCCACATCCCAGTGCCCCAGGGGTGGGCTGGGTGCCAGCGTTGGTGCAGAACAGGACTGTGTGTCGCTGGCTGGGAGCTGTGGGTGCTGGCGAGGGCAGCAGTGGGAGGGCAGGGGGCCCTACAAGCCCTGGCTGGCTGGGAGGCACGGTAGTGGCCGAACAGCAATAGCTAGGGTTTGCCTTTGACACAGACGCCTGCATTTGTTGTGCTAACTGGGTGGGAGGCGAGGCAGCGCTGGCTGGTTGTTTGTCCCCCTGAAGCGTGCCTAGTGGGTGCAGAGCCTTTTGGCATCAAGCATACGGGAAGTTTTGAGATGCTTATCAGATTGGGCTGCTTTTGACACCAAAGATTTTGACATTGGACATGTACCTCTGACCCCTGAGGGTTTTGGCCAAGTCCCAGGAAGGCTGGCGTGACACTAAGATGCAGAGCAGTCTCTAAGGAAATGCATGCATAAACCACAGACAAAAATATCCCAGCGTGTTATGAAGTATCTCTGAATATGTAAATGGAATGGTAGAGGTTAGGGAACGACATGGTTAAGAAACCATTTTAGAAACATCCCTCAAGTCAACATGTTTTACATCTGTCAGTGCTGTTCTTCCAGCAGGGCAAAGAGGTTGAAACACAAAAAGAGCTCACAAGCCAGCTCTCGCTTCGTGATACTGCACCTTTGCTTTCCCTGCTGAGGGAGGATGGCTCTGCCTCAAAGGTAACATCCTGCCTTATTTGGCCTTTTCGTATGGCTGCTCAGAGTGAAAGCAGCAAATACCAGGTTCTCCTGATGTGACAGTCAACTGCCTCCCAGCAAGGCACCTCCCTGCCCAAACTGCGGGCTCCAAAGTGCCATCTCAGATCCAGCAGCAAAGCGCTGGGGCTGCCCGTGGGGATGGCTTTCCAGCAGGCACTGCCAGGGGCCGGGACACAGCCAGGAAACTGTTGAGTGCTGGGGAGACGGTGGATCAGCAGTCTCAGACCCTTGCCCAGCAGCACTGCATACCTCTGCTTTAAACCTCTTACAGCCGCAGGCAACAAGAGATGGCTTGGATGCTCTAGCCTTCTGTGAATGTTGTGACACAAACTCAGCGAGGCCGTGGTGGAGTAGGACCTTCTCCCGGAGCCCAGGAAGACCAAGTCCCTGGGGAAGCACCAGCACGACACCCACCACACCCTTCCCAGAGGGCGCACTCAGCCCCGGTGCCTGCAGCACCTGGGGACTGCTCTTGCCCCACATGGCTTGGGCAGCCCCTGGGGTGGGCAGCCAAGGGCAGGACCCTGTGCACACCAGGAGCCAAAGCGCGTGGAGCCATCGCACAGTGCGGTGCTCAATCCAGAGGCCACGTGGTGTCCTTAAGCAAGCAGCAAGCGCTTTGGGATGGAGTCCTGCAAGACCCCCCTTACAGAGAGCACAGCCGCTACATGAGGGAAGCATCTTTCGGACTGGGTTTATTAAAGACTGAGAATACAACTGTGGGCCCAGCCATAAGAGGTGGGTGCCAGAAGCAGGGCTGGGTTTTGGCTGGAAGGGTGCGGTCTCCTCTCCAGGCGGCCTTCGGCAATACTGGCCAAATTTCCTATCCGGCAGGGCGTCCCAACGCCCCCACGCCGGCAGCGCTCCATCTGGAGCAGAGCCCCTCTCCGCACCAGGCCCAGCCTTGGTTACTTATTGCTTTTAATGTGCTAGTCTAGTACAGAGTGAATTCAAAGTAAAAATGCATGTCTATTGCGGTGCGTTTGTGCTGTCTTCAGGCTGTGCTGGGAACCATCAGACCTGGAGAGGGATGGAAGAGAGGGGTGGATGAAGTCAGGCTGGGGTGGGAGTGGAGACATCCCAGGGACAACGGTGCTCCCAGACAGACCCTGTCTTTGCCGACAGGCCACAAAGCAAAAGCCTTTGGCGTCCGCTGCTGGAGCTAAGTGGGTGCCGGTAGTCACTTGGGGCTGGTGGAGAGGAGGAGCTGGCACCCAGCAGGTTGCTCCCAAGCACCAGCACAAGGGCTCACAGCCAGCCTGGAGAGATGCCGTGGCGCACCTGCCTTCCCCGCTTGCCTGGGGGAGCCCAGCCCCAGCCAGCCCACGGAGCCGGAGGCAGGAGGGGAGCTCCGAGGGGGGGGGCACCAACCTGAGGTTTACTTGAATGTGTGGCTCTCAGCTCCTCCCCGGCCGAACCCTGGACGAGAGACAGAGCAGGGTGAGCATCCCCATGGGATGGCGAGTGCACCAAGGGATGCACCTTGCCAAGAGACAGGAGCCTCAAGCCCCCTTCCCCTCCCTCTCACAACCCCAGCCACAGCAACCCTACCTTTGGGCCCGAACAAGGCAGCATAGCAGGGGTGGTTGCAGTACGGCTTGCCATCATGCTGCGGGGAGAGAAAGAGCATCAGCCTTGACCGCCCTCAGCTCCATCTCTGCCCATCCCACCCCACCTGCAGCAAACCTCACCTCTGCATGGCCTCCAGATGTCAGGGTCTTGTTACACTTCTCACATCTCAAGCAGGGCCGGTGCCAGTCCTTCCCCAGAGAAGTCACCTTCTCAGCTGCCACGGTAAGGAGATGGGTTAGTTGAGGCACTGAACAGGCACAAAAGTCAGTTTTGGCAGACTGGCCTCCCCATCATCAACCCTAGGGAGGATACTTCTGGGCAGTTTCTCAAGTCTATTTGTCCATGACAGAGGGCACGGTGTTTCAAACCCAAGTGCTCGCTGTGCACCCATCACCGTGCACCTCCAGGCACCCATATCCAAAACTGCAGTGCCATGCCTAGGGTGAACATTGCTGCAACCATGCAGATGGACTGACTTCTATCCACCTTCCAAAGATTTGGGGACCTCCCCCTTTCCAACATCAGCCTGCATAGGGATGAATTTCTCCCCAGCCAGCTGGAGCCCAAGCGATCACTAGAGTTGGCAGGGGTGAAGGGGGGATGCCAGTGAGGTCCAGGGAGGCAAAGCCATTGCCACGCCCTGCCAACACAAACCAGTCCCCTCCAGCCACCAGCACTCTGGCCACAGCTCCGATTCTTCCCACACCATGGCAAAACAGAGTGGGTCTGGAGCTTGGCTGGGGTTCAGGTGGCTGCAAGGGGGGACAACATGCTGTTTGCTGGAACCAGAACATGTTTATGGAGCAATGGGGGGGGGGAACACAGGGTGGCTTTTAATTGCGGCAGGGAAGGAGGGTATTTTCTGCAGGCGCGTGTGCTCTTCATATTGGCAGCCACGTTCCTGGGGATTTATTAAGTGATAAAGCAGAGCTTTCCACAGGAATCGTGTCAGAGCCAGATCTGGGCACTCTCCCCATGCCTGCAAAAGGAGGTCGAGCAATGAGACCAAGCTGCTGCTGGCAGAGCATGCCCCAGGGGGGCCCTCAGCAGCCTGGAGCACCTCTTCGTTGGAGTCCAAATATGCCCACAACAGCTTATGCAAGAAGCAAGCCGGCGGCTGCAGAGGTGGGAGCGGGGGCAGTGCCCAAATGTCACAAGGCAGTCTTGCTGCCATCCCCCAGTGGCACAAAGAGCCTCCTGTGCCCACAGCCTGGTGGGGGCCGCAGCGTCCTCCCCCCGGGCAGCTCCAGGAGCCCAAGCCTGGCCCACAGCGCGGCCTTTCCTTTGCAGGGTTTCTGGAAGGCGCTCAGCCTCCCCTCCTCTCAGACAAGGATTTGCACCAATGCTTGGGCAGGAGCTCTGCCAAATCTTGCTGCAGCAGAGACCCCCCAGCTCTCGGCCATGCAGGCAAGATTCCCCTGGAAAGCTGGTGGTGGCCGCGCAAACCCAATCCCCAGTCCTCTCGGCATCATCTCCTCCTCACCCCTGCTCTCTACAGACACGATTTGGCTAAAATCCGCCCAAGGCACGTCCAAGCAGGATGGCCAGGCTCCGAGAGCCCCGGGGTGCTCCAGAGCAAGGCTTGCTCTGCTTCCTCTACCAGTGTTCCTTATCTTCAGGGACAGAAATCAGGCAGCGAGCTTGGTTCTCCAGCAGCTTTTGAACCCTCCTCAGCCTCTGCATCAACAGAGACTGTTTTGTAAGCGCAGCCTGATAAGTGCAGGGCCCAACCCCTCCTTGGTCAAACGGCCCCGTCCCGGCGCCTCCACAGCCGCACCTGCGGGCACAGCAAACCCCACTCACCACAACTGGGGTCAAAGCAGATCTGCAGGGACACGGGAAAGGCAGACACTGACACCAGCACCTTGGTAGCTCTTATTATCAAGCCACATGGGTAAATGAGGTGCCCCAGAACCCTTGGTTACAGAAAGGACCCACAAACTGTATTGTGCCAAAACCCCACCTCAAAGCCTGTCTGCAAGCAGGGAGTTCAAGTTTAAGCAGAGATGTTCCCTAACTTAAGGATCCACATCCCCAGCAGCCCTCCAGGCAACACCCACACCAGCCCCAGCACAACTCCCCAGGGCAGGCATCAGTAGCGGACACGGCTGTTTGGCAGGGCGAGCAGCCCCTGCATTTGAGCCTCCAATTTCTTTGGCAGAGCAGAAGAAGTTGGGAAGTACACACAAGTCAAGCAGGAATAAGGCAGAGAGAACAGAAGTCAGTGACGGCACTTGGGTCCCAGATCCCGCATCCCTAGTAAATTAAAAAGCAGGGAGCGCATATAAGCTGCTCTCAGCAAACCCACTCAAGTTCAGCTAAACCAAGGAAGTGGGGAGGTCTGGCAGATGGACCCCGCCTGTTCCAGCAGCTGCTGAGAGCAGGGAGAGAGGCTCAAAGACCCCCAGATATTCTTGGGTAGGGCAGTGGAATCACAGCACCAGAAGGTGCCCCAGCTCAGAGGGAGGACATCCACCTGAACCCAGCGGCAGACAGCAGCCAAACAAGGCTTGCGGCTAGCCTGCAACAGTGGCTTACAAATAACACCCTAGGGCTGTCATCTTGCTGTGTTAAACCACGCAGGACATGTGGGCAACCCACTGACCCAGGAACGTGCCCAAGGGCAGGATTTGCTTTTAGGAAGGTGCTTGTTTGCCCACCCACGCTTTCAGAGCAGCAGGCCTTTGGGCTCCAAACTGAGAAGTCTTCAGGGCTGGCCCAGCCGCCTGCCTCAGCACAGGGCTGCAGGCGGTGCTGGAAGGAAACAGGGCTGAGCTCCCACGCTGTGCCGTGGCCCCGTCTGCAGACTCGGGGTACCCACCCCAGCCCGCACCCTGCAGCGAGGCACCTCCTTGCGTGGGTTTACAGGGTCAAGCAGCCGAGGAACCCCGTGGACCCACAGCGCAGGAGTGCACAACTTTGGGGCACCCCAAGAAGTTGCATTGCTGAGGCGCACAACATCGGGGTACCCAGGACCCGCGGCGCTGGGGTGCACAGGGACCCGTAAGCACCAGGGTGCCCCCGGGGACCCGCAGCGCTGGGGTGCCCGGGGTCCCGAAGCCCCGCGGGGTGCAG